AAGAAGGGGAAGATATCAACCTTGTTTTTGTGGATCTGTGATGCTTATTGCTTATAGTGGTATTTAAGTTTTAATGGCAAAGATTATTTAGTCTTTTTTTTAAAACCTTGTGCTTTTTTTTCCCCAGGCTTGGCGGGTATTACGAGATAAGAAAGACCTGAAATGTATATTACCTTTAGGAGCAGACGAACTGAAAAGATAACCAACTTCTTTCACTTTCTTTTTTTTTTTTTTTTTAACCTGCTGAAAAAAAGAACAGTATCAAAATCAGGAGGCATCTACCCCATGGCTCTTTACAACCTGTTTTTCTCTATAAACTTTTGTTAAGGAAATGTTTATTATAAGGATGTGACATATTTTATTACCGACATTTGTTAATACAACTGTTCATTCAAAGATATGTGTTCTGAAAATGCTTGTATTGCTGGCTTCTAGAAGAAACTCACAGCAAACAACAAGAATAAATCTATTTCAGGGAAAGTATGGGGATATATTGACTTGTTGTTTGCATAATCTGTGTAGCCATTAATTCAGACAGATTTAACAATGAAACACTAGACATTCAAAGTTAATCAGTGTGCAAATCTGACTCCATCCTTAAGGCACTGTGCACAGTACCCACTTCTTGGTGAACAGAGAGCCCATGCTTTACATCTGCTTAATTTTAGTAAGCACTTTGGTTCGACTTGGCACTTTCCAGTTTTATTTCACTTGGAATAGCAAGTGACTGTTTATGAAAATGAAGCTAGATTATGGTTGGTAGTGTTCTGGATATTAAGAACTGTAATCTAAACTGGAATTTTCCAGCAACATTTCTACTATGAAGAAGGTGAAATAAAGAAGCTCAATTCAATATACATAAATACTTCATATTCACACAGAGTAGGCAAAAAAAAATTTTGTGCTTCCTTTTACATATTTGAAGTAGTAGTGATGCCTGCTTTGGAGAAAAAGAAAAAGACCAAATCAAAACACCTCTCAACCCTACCAATGCTACAATAAGCTGGACTTCTCATTTGATTTTGTGTAAATATTTTAAATTGGTCAGCCATTGTAAATTGAATTTAAATAAGTAATATTGAAAATTTGAACTCTTCCAAAAAAATAGCACACCCTCTCTTAGACCTATTGTAGCACAATTTCTGCCTCTCATGTATTTGCTATTGAAGACCAATTAGTTGTTAAAACTATACTTACCACTGATGTCAAATTCATACTTCCATTTTTTTAAGTTAATGTTTTATATGGTGTCCAGTGAGATAACCTGTATCTTCCATATATAAACTTTTATTTTTCCAGTTTCTGTTATTTTGTTCTGCATATTTAAAATATTTCCTGTAATTAAGTAGAATAGGAAATGGCCAGTAAGGTAGGGCCCATGTTGCAAATCATAAACATCTATTATGGCTATTTTGCAGTGCATCTGTGAACAGGTAAAAGTTTGATTTATTGCATTCACTAATAATAGTGCAACAACCCCTATAACTGTAAAATAACAAGCATTATCACTTCTCGTGCAAACTTTAAAGTTCTAGTTTATTTCAAAGTTCTAGGAACTATAAACTATTTGCCTGATGTGTGATTACTTTCTGCACACTTCATCATAGTCTAGTCTCCAGAGGATTTGGCTTGCTTTTTAAAACACTTCCTTCTGTAATTTGAACAGTCTTTCACTTTTAATCTGACTCTATCAGGCCACTGAAACATTTTCCCTCCGTGTGGATGTTCCCTCTCTCAGCCCTTCCTCTAAAGGATGGTAGACTTGCATCTCAGTGAAACATTCACTCTGATCTGCTTTACGTAAAATTGAAGCACAAGATTTTGGGACAGGCTGATATCTGGAATCAAAGATGCTCTACAAGCTCTAGGTGGACTTTGGGGAAAGGGGAGGGCTGCTTCTTGTTTTAAAAATATGTTGGCTGTATCTTTGTCTAGAAAATTTAAAACTGTCCCAATGTAGGATAAGCAAGAAGGGACATACATGTTCAAACTTGGCAAAAATGTATTTTAAGTGGGCTGGATGTCAGGCACAAAATTTTGTGTTTCTTACAAGTTTGCATTGCATCGCCTAATGTGTCAACATTTCTTACACCTTAAATTAATGCTCTGTGTTTGAAAGCACTTCCCCCTAACTGTTTTTAAAAAGTTAGTAAAAAAAATGGTAATACCTACATGCAACTCTGTAAAAATTTACAAGTCAAGGTCTGTAACCACAATGGTCTGTGTCTTTCAAAAGAATTCTTTTGTGTTTTTCTCTGAAGTTGATGTACTTCTGATAAGCTACATCTGTAATCAGAAATATAAATTCTAGATGGTTGATTTCCCTAGTTGTTTGAGGACAAGCCTGTTTATAGCATATTTGTTAAATGGTGGCTGCAACTTTTTTCTGAAAACTTCTAATATAATACCACAAAATAAATGGTTTGGGGAGAGTGGGTAGGAACTGAACTTTAACTTTGATTCAGTTCTGCTTAGTCTGAAGTTGTTCAGAGGTTTAATGACTTGGATTTTCATCTACTCTGGGCAAATATCCAGAGGGAGAAATTGGGTAACGGCTATCATAAATTTTAGTGTTAGTGTGAAGTTTTTCCTTCTCCTCAGCTTCAAAATAAAAACCTTCACCTACTTATCTCTTGGCATACACCATAGCAGGAATATTTTTTTCTGAGAAATATTTGGTAAAAGGTGTTTTTCATGGCTGACCAAGGTTTCACTGGGTGTGCAAGATGCTATCTTTGAGGTTTGTAACTGCCTCAAAATAAAAATGCTTTAGTTCAACTCTTTGTTATTTTAGGACTGTTCTTTTCTACTCATTTTGGCATTGGGTTTGCTTGTCTTTTCTCACCTTATATGTTAGAAACCACTAGTGTCTTCTGTAGGAATTTAAGAACTCTCTTCAGTCCTCCAGGAGTACTTTTAATGAACAGGCTCAAAGGTGCATGGGAGGACCAAACGTTAACAAAAGCTTTCATTTTGGTGACAGAAATGCAGACCTGGCATAGGCTGTAAGCTGTGAAACTTAAAGTTTCTCTTCTAGCTCTTGTTCTCACTTTTCTTAAAATGTGAATGTGTAAGTGTACTCTCAGTACCTTAAGGTATTCTGGCAGTATAAGGGTTTATTTTTTTTGAAAAAAGAAATCAATATAAATAAATTTTAAGACTCACATTATGGGGTGACATGATAATTTGGGAGAAATGGGCAGCCATAATAAAAGGATGTAAGGTGATTTGTAGAAAATCTAAAGTTAGTATTTGTGAATACCATCCCAAGTGCTTCTTTGGAACCAGTGTTTTCCTTATACTTGGGTCATTGGACTGAATTCACAGTATATTTGGTGTTAAATTTAAGTCTATCAGTGAATGTCACTCTTGGTTTATTGGACTCTACTTGCACTGGGTTGTCTTGTATTTTGTAGGGTTTTTTTTGTTTGTGTTGTTCTCTGTAATTAATCCTTGTGTGTTCTGATATAAATCTTTCCTTCATTGATTTTACATAGTATGATGCTTGTAGGAAAAGCGTGAAAAAATACACTATTTTTGGTCAATTTACAGGACAGATTAACTTGTGAGAAGTACAGAAGGGAGAGCACTAGGTCTGGAGATAATTTGAAGGGGTTCTGGTAAAAGAGCACTCACCTTTCTTTTACTTTGCTGAAGACTGAATCAAAACTTGTGCTTAATATATAAGCATTTCTAGAAAATTTGTAATGCTCTTGCCTTCCACTTGTAAAGAATGTGAAGTACTCTACCTTAAATTTCATTGTGCTGTGTGCACTGTCTGTACTCATGATAAAATGTAGTGTTTAATTTAGTTTAATATTCATTTCAAATACACTTTTCAAAAAAGTTACATTCTCACCTTGTAAATTGTGTATGTCAATGGGTAGGTCAAGGGAGCACAAAGATTTTGCCTGTCTGTATTGTTTTGAAATGTTGGGGGGATTTTAATTTACCTTTGCAGAGATAGCTTGTACTCAGAAATACCTGGTTGGGTGTTTCTATACTTATAGCACAAGGAAGAATTTCCTTACTGATTTATAACCACCTATTTATTTGAAGAATGGTAAAAATGATGGGGGTGTTAGGGTTATGCTGTGTGTACAGTGGTTTATACCTGAAATACCTTGGAAGTTTGTTATTTAGAATCAGAGGTGCTTTTCCTCCTCTTCTGAAAATATTTTTGTTTAATTTGTCACTAATTTGGCTGGTACATGTTGGAAATATTTCCATTTTGTCTGTGAAAAGCACTGCATTTTGTGTAAAATGCAGAATAATAAAGGGTAAACGTGGCTTAACCTAAATTCTGCGTGGTAATATAGTTTGTCTTTGGTTTAAATTAAAATTGGTTCAAGTCCACTCAAAGAGGAAATTTTAGATGTTGTGTGATGAAAAACAGCGACAAATTTCGGTTTTAAATACATTCCTTTTGTATGATTAAATGTCACAGTGCATCTGATACCCCTTACAGTATGGTATAAATTACTAAATGCATTTTTCTGAGGCTCATCCACTAGTTATTGTACTGGACCTTTCTAGGTCAAATTTGAGGCATTCTGGGTGTGCTCAAGGGTGGAACTTGCTAAATGCACCTTTTCTTGAGGCCACAGGAGAACTCTCCATCTGCCTCAAATGTGCTGTCCACCCCAAATTTGCTAGAGGTGGCTTTGGAAGGTCTGCTGGGGCCCCAGCCCCTTCCTCCCTCTGCTGCCTGGCTGCTCTGTCTGCTGTAGAAACAGCTCTGGCAGCGGTGGGAGGCGAAGGGGCCGAGCTGCTGGAGGGGTGGCCATTCGGTTTGGACACGTGTCCTGGCACCCGGTTGGTGCTACGGCCCAGGGTAGGAACAGCGGCCACTCTGCGCTGTAACTTGGCTGCATCTATTTAAGGACTGCCCTGAGTCAGGAGCAGTGAGTGCCACTGGGGATGACAGTTGCTTCAGGCAACCCTGTGGAGGACAGGGTTGGGGGTAAAAATCACCGGACAGGGCCTGAGCTGGGAAGGGAATGGAGGGCTCCCGTGGTGCCGACTGTGATAGGGCGTCTGAGACCTCGTCCTTCATAGAAGATGAAGAAGAAGAGGAAGAGGAGGAGGAGGAGGAAGAAGAAGAAGAGGAGGAGGAGGAGGAGGCTGTGGACCCAGAGGAAGCAGAGGAACTGACTAACAGGTACAGCATCCCCAGAGATTCACAGCCTCAGGGGGACCTGGCAGCTCCACCCCAAAGCACAAGCCCCAGAGGATGACAGGATTGGGGTCCTGTGCTGTCTTCAGTGGCTTTCCCCCTTCCCTTACCCAATTGCTGTGGATTAAAAAAAAGGGGGGGGAGGCTGTAATATTTCTTTTTTTTCAAATGGTTATGACTGTAATTAAGTTTTGTGCAGTAAGTGCCTACCCTGAGTTCCCTGGAAACTTTTCTATTTAAAGACTCTCTGATGTGCCAGCTCAAGTGGCATCTCCTACTCCTCCCTCTTTGGCTGACTCTTTGTCACATACAGATCTTAAATGCTCTGCAGATATGCTTGTCAGGGAGAAAATGCTCAAAGATTATGATGGTGCATTACAATTTGTTCCTTTTTATGACTCTTTCTTCCTTCCCACTTGTCCCTCCCTCTTCGGTCTCTTGTTTCTTAAAAAAGGAAAAACTTGTACATGCTTGCCATTGCCAGTAATGACTTGTGTGTGTGGCTGATTTTTGTGGTAGAATGGGAAATACTCTACCACTTTAAGATTATTTTTTTTAATACTTCTGTTTTCTTAATAACTCTTGCACTGAAACAGTTTGTTGTCCTAATATTGCTCTCCACCATCAAGAAAATAACGAGCAAGGCAGTGGCCCAGTGCCCTGCCCAGTAGTCCTGTGCAGGATGTGGAGGTGTCTGCAACCTGATCCATGCAGGCAGACTCCTCTGGCTTTGCCAGCACAGTTGGTTTCATAAAGAGACTGTGAGGCTTGAGAGACCCCTGGCATATAGCAGGTCTCAAGAGTTCTTCCTTGTCTCAAGCAGAGTCCATCAGTTTTGAGTAGTTACTGTAGAAAGAACCAATTTTTTAAGAAATGTGTGTCATATAGTTCCTCAGTGCTGTGAAACCATTCTGCATTTACCACCGCTCTCTGTGTATCACAGTTCAAAGTGCTTTCTGACATTGCTGGTGGTCACTGGGAGCAAAAAGATGGCAGAAGAGGGGTGGGGGACTCTGTGCAGCCTAACCCACCTGAAGCACTACAGGAATGAAAGCCAAACAGGGAAATGTACTCCAGGACTGTAGGAAAGCCTACTTGCATGGGGAGCAGAGAGCTAGTTTTCCATGGTGGGGGGATGCCCAGTGACAGCAGTGTAATGCTGCTTTACTGCCAGGGGAGATGTTCACTTTCGAGTCTCATACTGGCACAGGGGTTATGTGCTGATAAACACTGCTTGCACTTGTCTGTAACTCTACAAGAAAACCAGCCAAAGTTAATGGAGTGGAGTTACTTACAGCAAACAGGTAAAACAACAGTCTAGATAATTTTTAATGGAATCTGCAATTAAATGGCTAATAATAAAACTCTAATTGTAAAACATAAGTAGGAACAGCTAAAAAGGGAGGGAGCCTCACGGTTATTTACTACTTGTGCTGGGAGGATGACTTCTCCACAAGTGCCTGTTAGCAACTCCTCTTAGAATCATAGAATCATCCAGAAAGGACCTCCGAGATCATCAAGTCCAACCCTTGATCCATTACTGCTGTGGTTACTAGACCATGGCACTAAGTGCCACATCCAGTCTCATCTTAAAAACCTCCAGGGATGGAGAATCCACCACTTCCCTGGGCAGCCCATTCCAATGTCTGATTACCCCCTCTGTAAAGAAGTTCTTTCCAATATCTAACCTAAACCTCCCCTGGCACAACTTGAGACCATGCCCTCTTGTCTTGCTGATAGTTGCCCGGGAGAAGAGACCAACCCCCACCTGGCTACAACCTCCTTTCAGGGAGTTGTAGAGAGTGATGAGGTCTCCCCTGAGCCTCCTCTTCTCCAGGCTGAACAACCTCAGCTCCCTCAGCCTCTCCTCAGAGGACTTGTGCTCCAGTCCCTTTGCCAGCCTTGTTGCTCTTCTCTGGACCTGCTCCAGCACCTCAATCTCCTTCCTGAACGGAGGGGCCCAGAATTGGACACAGTACTCAAGGTGTGGCCTCACTAGTGCTGAGTACAGGGGAAGATTGCTTCTGGCTGGCAACCTTTGCAATGCAAACTTGAGCACTGCATCTCACCACTTATTTACATCACAGCAAACAGTCCCTTAAACTCTGCTGTGTTTAAACAACGGAGCTAATCTCTATCCTTAAGTGTCTTACTAATAAAAAAGGTCAGAGTCTACCAGAGTAGATTTTAACAGCTACGCTGTATGGTAACTGAGCATATTTAAATCTATTTGGTTAGTTCAACTAAGTTCAAGAAGATGTGAAATTTTGAGTTAGGCACAGATGTGGTAACTGCACCAACTGCTCAGCAATAGTTTAGAGAAGTAAAATAAAACTGACTCTATCTGCTTGGGTGTTGTCACAAGTATCAGCAGGGCTGTTCAGCTTCAGGCCTCCTCTTGTGCTCAGTGCCTGGGAGACCTCCTGGCAAGAACAGCCAGGTTGAGCCCCTGTGACATATTTACTCAGGCTGAACTAATTATCTGTTGACAAACAGGTTTTCAAGCCCCCATTGCAGAATAGCTTTTTTTGTGTGCATGCCCTATGAAAGCGTAGCTTAGAGGAGGTGTAACTAATACACAAACATGGCTGAAGACAGCCCATCTTGGACTATGCTGTCATCAATTTATTTTTAACAACTCCAAGCTCTCTGTTGTTTCTGCCTTCCTCCTCTGCATGCAGTTGAACAGCACCTGTTGTGCAATGTTGCAGTCAGCAGGAAAGTCCCTACTGGCTCCTATTTCCACCTTTCCAACATGTTAAGTAGCCTTATACCCATTTTATATGAGTCATGCATCAAGATGGCTGGCCCAAGGTCAGGAAGCACCCATGTGAAAGAAGCAGACACCTCTGGGACACCAGCCTCTGAGCCCTGACCAAACAGCTCCACTTCCACACTGTGCAGCAGCTGCAGCAAATAAAATCCCAAAAGCTGCAGCGGAACTTATGACTTGTACCAAAATTACAATGCATGCACATTAAAGGCAGAAGAGTTTGGGGGTTGCAAACTTTATTACCCTTTTCAATGTAATGTTTAAATAATTTGGTTTCCAGACACAGGTTTTTATACAAGTAATGAGACTAATATGCAGCATCAGAACCTATTAAAAAGATGGGATAAGGGCTTCATATCCTTGTCAGCATAAATAACCCACTGATCTGCACAGAGTTCTTGAAATATTTTCTTGCCTTTGGGTATTTTACTATCTGAGATAGATGAATCGTGCCAGATGACTTCTGTTTCTAGCTCTATGTATCTAGTTAATCATCTTAACAGAGAAAATCTTTTGAAAACGTGTATTACTTTAAGGCAAGCATGAGTATGAAATTAATAGGTTTTCATTTTTGTGTTGGTAATGGTGAGATTTGTCTAACTATACAAAAATTGTTTACTGTTTAACTGGTTTACATACCTGCTGGAGTATCTGTATCTCTAACAACTACGTGATGGGTGAGCTGTTCTGGCACAGTTCTGTCTCTCAGACTATTCTCAGCTGATTTCCTTTTGCAGTGTGAAGGCCTCCGGTCTCTGGATGTGTTTATGTACAGGGTTTACATAAAAATGGCTCTACAGCCAATTTATAAGTGTTTCTAAATAGCTCATTTGCCTGGAATAGGTGTGGGGTTCATTTTATCTGCTCGTTTAGTGGTGACCTATAACCAGTAGATGGAGAGAAGTCCTGGAGTTCTGGAATTGTTTGGTTTTGGGGTTTTTTTTTGTTTATTTTGATGGTGGTTGGTTGGTTGGTTGGTGGTTTCTGGTTGGTTTTGGTTTTTTTTTTTTGTTTGTTTTAAATGAAGCAGTCCTTCCACAAGATCAGAAGTGTGTAAGCTTTAGAGCCAGGTCTAGTTTGGAATGATTGGTGAAAACGGGTAGAAGAGGAAGCACAGTGGAGAAGGGATCTGCCTGCCATGTGGGGGTTGCTGCAGCATCTAGGAGAGCAAAAGAGTGGAATGATAGTAAATGGGATATGGGAAAGAAGGGGTGGGAAGGGGAGTGCTGGGGATTTGTCTTCCCAGGAAAAGGTTTACCATTCTCTGCTGAAAGCAGAGAAAGATGTGGGGAAAGGTTGTGTGATTTTAGTTTCCCTGATGAGGCAGTGCCTGCCTTGGCCCAGGGTGGAAGGGGCTGGCAGGGCTGCTTTTTTGCCACATGCATCAGGCATGTGGGCAGGGGAAGGTAAGGGTGCTGGGAAGCGGAGCTGTGCAAGCCATCTCAAGCATGTCGTGGCAGAGGCTTGAACAAAAGGTCACTGAGAGCAGACAAATGGGGCAAAATGCTGAGGTGGGGGCATAGCAGAGGAGAGAGGTGCAGCCAGTGACCCCCACGCACACCCCGGCCCCTGCTGGGTCCTGCAACTGGGCACTCCATATTTTCTTTCTCTTCAGCCTTTTGGATAATATTAACTGAGTCCTTAATAAAGGTCTGCATTGCCATTGGGATCTAAAATAACACTCGGACTTCAAGAAGTTCCCCATTGGGTCTCAACAGAGTGATTAAATAACTGTGTAAAGGAAGTCGCCCATCCAGACTCAGGTGTTTGATTCCTGTGCTCCCTCCACAACATGTATGGTGGAGAATCCAGAATGCAGGAGCAGGGCAGATCTTTGGGGCGTAGAGGTACTGCAGTTTCTCAAGCACCATCTAATCCCACAACAGGGAATGCCACTAGGACATACCACACCCTGGTGGCTGGAAAATGATCAGCACTGTGGTAGGTTGTGTCGCTTCTCAGACATTTCTAAGTGTTGGGAATGGAACAAAATATGTGAGACAGGCCCAGCTCCTGGCTCCCAGCTACTCATAACACAAATCAGCTTTGTGAAGCTGGACAAGCAGCTGTCTTACTTTTTTTTAGGATAATTATTCATTTGAATTTGGACAGATGCATGAGCTACTCTGTTGCCAGAAGAGGCATCATCAACACTGAAGGAAATCAATAATATGTTATCAAGTTAAAGGCTGGGTTTAAAATGGTGAGTTTC